TATTAAGGTTGTTTCACTTTGCTTCAATTTTGTTATTTTTTACCCGTTCGGCTTCTATCGTTCATATTACGACACATCATTCGTGAAATATAATTAATTAGTTCGTCTGGACGTCATTTTTCGTTACGCCCTTAGGGATTTTGTTCTGGCTCTCCCGCTTTGATTGGCAGATGTGTAGACTAAAAATTGTTAGAATTAAGTTATCAGTAGTATTTATTGTTTATTTTTCATTTACAAGAGCTATACAGACACAACTTAGATTTTATTCAGCTTCGCGATATTTAGCTCATTCCAAGAATGGACCTCAGAAATACAATGTAAGAGCCTACCTAAAAATAAATCCAGAGCTTCACAGCTAGAAAGTTAACTAATGTATGGTTTTGATAAAGAAACAAGTGCAGACGCAAGCTAAATGTTTGATTAAATGATACCTCCGTTGCTGTATGCTTCGCACATCTTTTCCGTAATTAGTCATTCAGAGTTTTTCTGGTTTTGGCCCTCATGAGTTATACCCGTGTAGGATGCTGTCACTGCTAGTCAAAGCACAGTTTGCCCGTTGACGTAGCTCACGTATGACCAGATGGCCTCTGCTCTCCACAAACTGTTGCCGATTTGCAAGGCAAGCAAACCTACTACCTAAAAGGAGCTAGGACAAAGTTTCCTTGATATGAAAAGACGTTTTTAAACATTTATCGCAGGAGTTTAATTAAGTTAAACCCACAGATTAAAACTGTTAATCAACTCCAATCATAATTTTGTTCGTCCTAATTTATTTGGGAGGGAGGGGGGTAAAAAGGTAGGCCAGGACCAAACTCGGACACTTTAGGAATATGGGATGTTCGATAGCTAATCTGCCGTCAAAGTGACATCAGACGTAGCTAATTGGAAAAAGGCAGCAGGGATAATTTTGTGTCGACTGTACTGATGCTCTACATGGTATAATAAGGTGGGGGATACTGATCCTGGGTAAACAAATGAATTCTAATTGGATGATGTAGGGTGATGATAGCCTGTAAAAGTATCCATTTTGGCAATACTTTTGAAAGCCTTCAGTCAGCATGATATGAGGATAAATTGCCTGAAAAATGTCTCATTTTATGACAGTGTTATTCCTACCCACTTTAGTCTCTTATGAGATCAGCTGCAGAAGCAGAAGGAGTCCTTTTGCGAAAAAATGACTACTTTATTAGTATGCCCTCTTATCATTTGTTTTAAAAGTTCCTATAAATTAAAATGCATGTTATAGAAATCATGCACAAAAATGTTCTTCCATGCATTTGTTCAGTGGTAAAGTATGCCATCTAGAAATATTATATTTTAAGAGATTATATTTTCTGTTCTTATAAACTTTCTAGCTTTTTCAATACTTTAAACCCTATCGGCCGTTACACTTGAATTTAAGTTTTCAAAAGGACATGCCGTATACATTCTGTCTAATGAAAAGCACACGCTTCTCTAGGCTGTGAGAAAGAGATTACATAGTTATCATAATATATGACAATGCGTTTGGAGCGTATTGTTTTCATTATAGGCAACGTGGGTGAATTGTATTATAGATAAACATTTCACTGTCTTTAAAAATTTTATATTTATAAATTTTTAAAACCAGAAGTTTCCATTCACTTCTTGGCACTCGCTCAGGCCGTTCTTCCTCCGTTCGTAAAACAAACTTTTCCGCCACGCTTCTCGTGTTTTTATCTTTAGTTAGGAAGCGCTGACATGAACTGTAGGAAATTTGGATTATTTCCTCCAATTTGTCGATATTTCTGCGATGGCCAAATATGATAGCATCACGCATTTTTGATACGTTTTGTCTTTTCAAGGTGTTGAGGGGGGGGGGTTGACCCGAACGGGGTTCCTATCCAAGTAACGTTTGACTATTCTGAACTGGACGTCCGGCTCAAAGCTTCTTGTCTGACTTTGAGCTTCCTTTCCAGAAGCTCTCTCAACCATTGCAACTATTTCTGCTGCTTTTTCGCTAACAGGAAACATTCTTGGATTTTGGCACATTGTTGCTCAAAATTTGCCATGGATAAGTTTAGACGAGAAGAAGAAGGTGCGACCACTGGAACAAGAGTTTTTTTTTCCTGACGTTTCGGACTCCGTCGGAAATCCTTACTCATAGATAATGGTAGGTTAGTCTGAGTCATGCGCAGATAGGGGTCAAACACGCACAGATTGCACGGTATTTCTAGCTCATAGCGGTCATCCGCGTGCGTACTGTAATTACCACACCTGTAGCCACCGCGTGGGTCTTAATTGGCACGGCGATGGCTTGACACTTCGCTTTCTAGCCATTAATCGCCGCGATTTCCCTGCCCACATCGGATGCGGGCTTGGTTATTGCGCGACAATTATGCTCGCTATCGTCAGAGTTGTTGCTGAGCCCGACCCTTCGCACGTTACTGATTCTCTTGCTCAGGCAATGTCTCAGTACGCCGTACGGGAACGCTAAATCTTTGCGCTATTTGATGGACTGGGGCCTGAGAACCATGATTCGAGCAGCTTGCGGCTCACAAGGTTGTCACCCCTTGCGAAGAATTTGGTCTCGTTACACTTGAAAATATGGCCGCGTCCCGTCGAGTGAGCTGCAACCTGGGAGTTGGTGTCTTTCTTCCTCACTGTCGCTGCATGCTCGGCCATTCGCGTCCGGGATAATCTCTCGTTTTCTCTGACATAGTTGCCTTGCCCCCAGTCCATCAACAAGTGCAACGATTTGGCGTTCCCATACGGCGTACTGAGGTATTGCCTGAGCAAGAGAATCAGTCGCGTGCGAAGGGTCGGGCTCAGCAACAACTTTGGCGATAGCGAGCATAACTGTCGCGCAATTACCAAGCCCACATCCGACATGTACAAGGGAATCGCGGAGATTAATGGCTCGAAAGCGAAGTGTCAAGCTATCACCGTACCAATTAAGACCCAAGCGCTTGCTAGAGGAGTGGATAATTACATTACGCACACGGATGACCGCTACAAACTATAAATACCGTAAAATCTGTGCATGTTTCACTCCTTCCTGCACATGAACCAGAATAACATACCATTACCTATGATTAAGGTTTCCCTACGAAATCCGAAACGTTAAAAAGATAAGTCTTGTTCCAATGGTCGCATTTTCTTCTTCTGAACTGCTTCCTGGAACTCGCGTATTCACTTCTATTGGCTTAAAGTTTAGTGTTAAGGTTGGGGTTGGTGTTAACCGTAAACTTAGGTGTAAGAGTGGGGTTAGAGTTGAGATTACAACTACGGTTAAGGTTAATATACGGTTTAGGACACGGAAATATTTACCCTTCCTTGAATTTTGTCCAGGGCCACGGTTATTATTTGGGTGGAGCGTTTCATTTTCCCGTTCTGTTTAGGGAGCCCTATGAGTAACCCTTACCCTTTTTCGGCCTGAACTAGTACCTGCGTCCTAACACGGTATGGCTGAAACTACCAGCATGAGTAGGAATGTTAATGTGCAAATTAAT